ACTGACTGCCCCAACTTGATTACATTTTGACCTTCTCGTCCCGCTTTGTTTCTCTCTTTTTTTTTGTATTTTTATTTCTTTGCTTTGTTTGTTTGTTTTTTTCAATGTTGCGACGTGTTTGTTGCATATTTGATAGGCTACTGTACCGTGCGACCCTCGGTGCCAGCTCATTAACAGTCTCCCTTGATATCGCTTTGGGTTTTTAATTAAAAAATGTTGGGGGTTTCTTTTTTGGTTTGGCTATTGTTTTGGAACAGGAGTCCTAGCGGTAGGGATTAGCTTGAAGGTAAACTTAGAATGTGAGGTTCTAAAAAAAGCTGGCAATTAATGTTATTTGTGTAGAGGACTTCACACAAGAAATTTAAATGAAGTAATAGAAAGTAAAATGGAAATATTTATTATTAAACTAAACAGCACGACCAAGAAATTACCAATCCTATCCTATATTATTTTTAGTTGGTACATTTAGCGTTTTAAATTTACCTTCAGTTGGCTAACCCCCAAAGTAATAAATACTTTTTATAATTATTTTTTATTTATTTTTATTTTTTTTTTTTTTTTTTTATTAGTATTTTTTGATTTGCTTTCTTTCGAATATTTCTCTTTTAACTTGTTTTTTAGACCTAAGTAAATATACCTCACTCAACCTACAAAGAACAGTCCCGAACTAATTCATCTTTTAATACGCCTTCCATCCCCAATTCCCTGGTTGTATCCACCCGATTTATATAAATAGATTGCCCCTACAATGATCATTAAAAACGCATACCCTGACATTGTTTTGCTATAAACATAAACAATAATTCAATTCGCTCCGGCGGCAGCACCAACAAGGATGACACAGGGATAAGGGCAAAAACAAAGCGAAAAACACGGCATAATCAATGTCGATGTCTGCCTACAAGGACTGCCGTACAGCAGCACCCACTCATGGCTACGGGTACAAATACGGCCACATCGTACATTACCCACTCGGAGATAGAGAGACATCCCCCGGAAAATAGACAGGATATGGGGGAGCAAAAGGAAAAGCGCTCGTATATCAGCATTGGAATCCACCCGGCAAACCCCAGCAACGAAAACAATTTGGTAAGTTTTCGAAAATTTGGCGAGTGCGAGCGGGAGAGCGAGAGCACTTCTAATCCGGCGCGCAGGACCAAATAGTCTGCCTCTCGCTCCCACTGCCACCAGTTCTATGGCTATATGGCTCTGGTTTTCGGTGGAGTCCATGTACAAAGCTTAGAAATAGACAGACAATAAAAGCTTCATGAAGCGACATTGCCGACGCCATCATTTGAGTGGGGTGTGCGCAAGCGAGAGGGCCAGAGGGTTAGACAGAGACGGAGCGCCCATGAAGTTTCTGTTGATTTTTATCATTTATCGATTTCGAATTTGTGTCGAGGGACAATTTAGTGGGCCCCATGCCCCGTTCCATGTCCCAATGTGTCTATGTTTTGTTGGCCATTCTCTCCACTCCACGGACATTCATGAGGTGTCGTCCCGAAATTCAAAAGGGGTGAACTGGGTGATCGTGTGGGGGTAGGTGGTCTGCCGGTTTGATGGCCGACTCCAAAACTCCGGCCTGTCATTGTCGGACTAAACTGCAGCCGACTGCTGGGGAGTACATTTTTGGCCAGCAATCCTGACGAGGAGCCCTTGTTGTCGTGCTATTTATGGCCAGCACACATATTCGAGTGCCAGCCCGTCCTCGTAATTCTCCCAGCACTCTCTTTTCGAGTGGGCGGGCTCTGACTTCCTATTCTATCGATTTTCGAGGAGGGCTCCTTAAAGGGTGCCGTTCAACTTTGTTGAAGGCTGCGGGAAACTTCAAGGAGATTTTGGTTGCTCTCTTTCCTTTAAGATTCGGTTGATAACACTGAGATTGTCTTTGAGTTTGTGGAGGAAAAAAACTTGGATTTTTATACTTCTATGACTTATGTAAAAATTTTTTAAAAAAATTTTCGAATATATATTATTGGTTTATTTATTTGCTTTTAAACTGAAATTACTTAAAAATTGAGGAAGGGAAGAATATTACATTGTCAGCAACATTAATTTATTCAAAATATAAAATTCTATTTTATAATTTTGGATTTAAAAACAGATTATCTAACAGATTAAACTATTAACGCAATTCTTATTACTTAAGAAGGGATTAGAAAATAAACCAACAAAAATACAGAAGTTGAGCTATTGAAATCCCTCTTAAATCCGAAACCGATATGCACCTAAACCATTTAAGTGTATGATTTCAGAAATCTTTAATCTTATGCAACACCAAATATGTTGAGCATTCTCCTGGCGGGCAAAAACAATAAAGCGATTAATCAAATTATATTTGACATGCCCGGCACACAAACAAACCGAATTGGCAAGCCCCATTTCGAAGTCAGTTTGCAATATTTCAGCGAGCAGATTAACAGACCTGAGGTCCTAAGACAAATTGTCCACCAGGGACACGTTCGCACACAGGAACAGTTTATTGTTTGCTTTTTTTTTGCCGAAATTCTATTAACCTCAGCGTCAATAAGCGGCTTAGACGGGATTTACCTGAAACCGATCCGATCCGATCTGGAAACTGAGAGGGAACCCAAAACGAGCACGTTCGACTTTCTGTGTGGACGCCTGCGCAGCTGGCGAAAAAGTAAACCTCATTCGAAATGGCAAATTCAAAGGCAATTCACACTCGTCCGTCAATTGCTGGAAGTTGACTTTGGGCGCGTACTAAGACAAAGTAAAATACTGGGGAAAACCTTTCCGGAACTGTGCGGAAGTTCATAAGATTGCCTTTCATTAAAGGGAAAACGTGCCAGGCTCAATAGCTCCCATGAGTTGCAAGAATTCGCAGAGTGTATATGTATAGTATATGGGCCGACCATTCTTCTCCTTGTCCCATTTGATCTACGATCCCAAGACTCCTCCATGAATATCACGTAATACGGCGGCTGTTTGCTGAGCGGCCGCTAATGGCTCGTCTAGGTAATTATCGCCGGTATGCTAATGGCGTTTTGAACGGACCCGCCTCCCCAAAAAAGAGTTACCGATACCGATTGTTTGCCATTGCACTCGCTGCTAAAGCATGATTAATGTGGGTGCCCCATTAGATGCGAGTCAACAATGGCAGTTCGGTAGTTGCAACAGTCAGTGTCCGGAGTCATTAGCCAGTCTCGATTCAGTGAGTCCGCGGATAATGTGTAGTTAGGCTAGTTTTCGATTCGTGAGACTCGTTGGTGGGGGAGTGAACCCTATTTTTCGTTTAGTAGCTAAGCATCTGGGAAGAAACGCTTCATTGTAATGGAGTTCTTTAGTTATTTTTCAACGCGTAATATTTTGGCTTAGAGATCGAAAAAATTGGACGTTAAAGAAGTATTTTTGTATTTTATTATTATCGTTTTAAGAAAGGTTAGAATACCTGAGTATAGAATGCTCAAGAAAACTTTTTTTTTAAATATATTTTCCAAATTAAGTTGAAGAGGAAATGGTTGCGGAAAGCTTCAACGTTGCTAGAAAATCAATTAATTTTTCCGTTGCTTCCCTTAAACCTATTATCTTTCTTATATTTCTTCAGCAGCATTATTATGTCGTTACTCACGCTTCCATCTCCAGTTTCCATTATTTCGATATCTACTTGTTGCATTCAGACTTTTGCCCCATTCATTCATACCACCTTGGAGGGCATTCATAATTTAATGATATTTATTGTTATTGGCCAACTCCCCCGACTTCCTCTCGCTTCAACCTGCTCGAATCCATTCATGGCCTGTCCAATGTTTTCTACTCATATGCTCGCTTGATTGACAGTTAATCAATCTTTCGGTTTTAGTTTGATTCTTTTCACACATTCCCTTATTCTTGGGTGACGGTTTCGCCCTCTCCTTTCGCTCGCCCATTCATTTGTCTTCACCTTGTTGGCCAGAAATACTTTCGAGTTAATCCTTTTGACTTTGTCCGCTTGACGGATTGTCGTTTGACTGACTTCTCTGACCGGATTGACTGCATGCGAGGAGTGTCTAAAGCAGATTTCCGGTCTGTAATTGTTATGAGTTTTAAGCCATGGGAATCGCTTCTTAATTCCCTTGTAGGTGTTGGCTGATCGGATTTTTTCGTACGATCCTGACAGAATTCTTCGCCTTTTTGGATAGACGGATTTTAGTTTTTAGCTTATTCCAGCTATGCAATTATCGTTTTTCCAAATTCCGTCAACATTTCTTAGTACTCTTTCTTAGTAATCTGACAATATAAATTTCAGTTAAGGAATAAACAGAAAAACTACTAACTTTAACCCTTTTTTTCAGTATAACACATAGGATTTAATACATTGATCCGCCAATTTAATGGCTATAAAATGTAGAGTACAAATAGGAACAAGTAATTTTATCCCAAATAAAGTTTTTCAAAACAATTCTAATAATATTATTTTAAAGTCCCGCTTCTCCCAATAAAAACCTAATTTTCAATAGTTCATTTTATACTTTTCCTTGCGTTTTATTTTTTATCAATTTGAAATAATTAAAATTACAATTTAATTTAAATACATTTTACATATAATTTACCGCAATAGTTAATCATCATGTTTTGCGTCTGTATCATCGTCAATATTGTGAATATTGTTGCGCAATCTCATTTAGCATAGTTAATCGTTAATAGTTTAAATATATATATATTTTAGTTGTATGAACTAAGGTCGGTTCTAATGCACGAAATTACATTAAAGTTAGGGATTAGAAACTAAACATACAATATGTAATAAATTCAGTTTAATTTTTGTGCCAGTGCCTCAACTCCTTTCGATTTGCTTACGAATTAGCGACGTTAATTAAGCTTCATGTTAAATGTATTCTTTAGAAAATTAACATAAATATTTACACACCTAATAAACAAAGTGGGAAATGAAGAAGAAGAGTTAAAGGGGCAAAATGAAGTCTTCAGAAGACGGTAAAGTGGCAAAACCTTAAAACTTGAACCCAAATAAGTTTGCTGAAATCGTTTCTAGCTTTCTAGCTGCTGCTGCTTTTGTGGCTGCTTATGCTGGGCTTTTTGCTTTCTAGCTAATTAGCTGGCGCATTGAAATTTATCCTAAGTGCGATCCATTCCATTTCATTGCGAGTCCATGTCCTTGCATAGTTTGTAAATTCGTTTTAATGGCGATAATTATCCTGCTGCTGCTGCGAGGACCCGGAGCTGTTGCTGCGACATCTCTTGTTCTGGGCAGGGGACTCGCCCATATCGAGGCTCTCGTTATCGCTATCCATGGTCTCGCTGCAATCGCCATCGTTATCGCCACCCATGTCGTCCTGTTTCCTTTTGGCAGTGGCCATTTCCGCCGCATGCCTTTTGCGCCACTTGGTGCGACGATTCTGGAACCAGACCTGCAAGAAAACCAAAAAAGATTCACGCTTTAGTACGGAGAAAATAAAATTAAATCGGTAAACCATTTTGGTAAGTTTAATATTGATTTTTAAGTATTAAAACTAAGGAATAAAAGTACTGAACCTTTTTTACCGGCTACAGTATTACTTTATATTCGATATCTAACAGTTTTTGATGTAAGTTTAAAGATGGCATATCTTTTCTTAATATTTTATCCAAAAATATTTAAAATCTAGGTGATTTTCTGTTTTCTGCTCTTAAGTTTTAAATCGAAAGTTCTCTGCATGTGTAATTAGGCGAGTCACATTGTCAAAGTCATTAAGTCGCAAGGAGGAAAGGGGCTAAAGGCCCAGGCAACAGCCCATAAGTCGCATCATCAACGCCGGTTAACCCTCAATTAAGACAATATTAAGCCCTGGACAGCCAAATAGCGAAATGTTGCCCGGCAGCAACAGCAACTGTTTCAGCGGCAAAAACTATGCACAAAACCATGACTAACGTCTTTGGCTGCGCTTCATTTTGCCGGCCTCGCCTCGTTTGCCTCGCTCTGTGGCAACATATGTTGGCCAAAATCCCCCCTCCCAGTCCATTGCCCATGGCTGTTTTAAAAGGGGACTCACATTCACCCACCCAAGTCCCAGGCACGTTTTCCAGCTTTCCGCTCTACTCTTCAAAAGGCATGGGCTGACTCAAATTCGGCATAATTTCTACATTTGCCTGATGATGGAGCAGTATTTCGGTAGCTGTTTGCAGTTAGAATCATTAACAAAGCGTATAAATGGGCACTTAATGTAAGAGTTCAGCTCTCTACAGAATTTTAAAAAAGTATTTTAAGGAAAGAAAATGGACTGATTTAATGGAAATATGATTTTTAATATCTGAAAATAGAAAATAAAATTTTCTACTTTTTTAAAATCCCCAATTTTCTTAAGACACTTTAACGTCCCAACGTTTAGTCAATTTCCATTGCGTCCTATCAAGTGATCCACTTAATTACCTTGCCCAGACTGTTAAACATTTGCCCCATACGATGGCGAAATCAACGCCGAACCCAACAGCCCAAAGGTGCAATTAAACCAGATACAGCATAATTTACAACTTCATTTGCACATTTGTGTAATTATTATTTGCAACATTATGCGAAATAAAAATACAATTAATATTTTCCGTGTGTTACAAGCCGCAGCGGAGAGCGCAGAGACAGAGTTTCCCAGTGTCTTGGCCCTCGGAAAAACAACAGACAGCCAACGGCGGCAACAACAACATTAGTTGGCATCATTAAGGCTGCTTTTCATGGTCATTATTTTTTGGTAACATCTGTGTCCATGTTGTTACGGGATTTGCCACTGAGCCATGGGCAAAAAGGAAAATTGAGCTTGGGGCAAGTGGCTGGCTTCCTGGCATTTCCCTCTTTTCCCTCATCCCTTCGCCAACCGATTTTCCACGTCTCCTTTTCCCATTTTGTCGTCATCATAACGATGGTGTATGCGTCATCTAGCACCCACTAAAGCATAGTTGATGTTGCAATGACAACAGATTGCTGACTGTTGAAGAAATATTCAAGTTTGGGTTCCTACAAATCTTTGCAATATTTTTGGAACACAATTTTATGTTTCGTTTAAACTAAGGTTTGTTTGGTTATAAATGTAAAATGAAACCTAAATGGTGCGTATTGTTAAAATAAAATATTTAAGTGTAAAAAATGTTTACTTTGTCCAAGTAACTTTCTGAATTATTTTATTTCGGAAAATACTTTTTTAAAACTGTTGGATAAAATATAGAACTAAATAATCGAAAAACAGGAATCCTACGTTTTTATTTGTATTTTCTTTAAGCTTCCTTTAATTTTAGAAGGATAAAGGTATTGCCTTTTCCGAACTTCATATCGATCTTTTTTATTTTCTTGGACACCCACATTCTAATATTCTTAACTGGAATTTCACAACTGTTTGCAACACTTTTATGGCCAAAATATCAAGCATTATCCAAGAACTTAGAAGCCGCCTTGGCAGGTTCAGACAGATAGCCAAATGGCGGATCCAGAAGATGGTCAAGGGAGCCGGGCAGAATTTATGACAGCCAACATGTCAAAGTCAATCAAATATTGTGGCAATCAATTTGACTTGGTCACGTTACGCTTCGATTTCGAATTGGGATTTATTTATTGCGGCAGGAGCAGCACCTCGAAAAAAAGGGAACGAAAAACCCGGCTCCCAAACAAAGGGAAAACGTTATAAAACATATTCCATTTTGGCACCACAGCGGGAGTCCCTGTTTCCTGGGCCATCCGTCAGGTGGGCCCTCAGATAAGGATAAAAAGTGTTATGTAAATTTCGTAGGAACGGACGGGATGTCAAAACCAAACCTTCAGAGTGTGGTGAGCCCTCAAAGCGAAATATATGACTCTTTGGGCAAATTGGAAATTTATTTGTTTACGCGTCCTGTGCGGGGGATACTTAAAAGTCATGAAAATTTACAACATGGCTGCGCACACCGATGGCCAATACGTATACGTATGGCGTTGCCTTTTTGGTATCATCGACATCTGACAAGTCGGCTCCTACCTCGTTCACCTTTTTTTTTTCTATTGGTCCACAGAATATTTTATTTATTTATTTTAGCCAGCGCGAGTATGTGTGTGTTTTGTAGTTCTGGCTCGTAAATTTCCGAATCCGTATAGCCGGCTCGCCCTCGCCTCTTTATATGGGGATCGCTTTCCGTATTTATGTGAGTTTGTGATTTATTTGATTTTGTATTTCGTAGCCATAAACTTGAAGCCAGCTCAGGGTTTGAGTCATAAAAATGCATTTGGTTTTTGGGTTTCGGTTTTTTTCCTTTTTTTTTTTTGGATATTTCACTAATTGTTAGGCAGCCCTAGAAATCGTCTTCAGCTCTTATGTAAATTCCTGGTCGAACCCATTCATTAACACACAATCAAATCCATTAGTGGGTCACAATAGAATTCTTCCTCATCACCAAAAAAAATCAATTAGACATTATTCCCCATTTCTGTCATAAGTTTTTATGAAGAGGCCCATTGTCAGCTGGTTGGCCTGTCAGTTTTCGTCAGCTGCCCATTGTCGTTGCCAAACTGTCACTTCTGACAGTCGCCTCGAATTGGATTTGGTCCATAAGCTTTCATTATTCCGGTGCTAATTATGCGGCCCGATCTTTGTCTCATCAAAAGTAACAGATCATAAAAAGCCATTTTTGGCCATAATAAAATATTATGTTCATCTGTGGCCAATGGCACTTAGCCACATTCCTAAAAATGTTCTTTTATCGCAGCTGAATATTGTTTATTTCATAGAAAATTACCTTTTTGGTAAGGAATAGCTGCGCTAAAAGCTGTCCATAAAATTAAAAGTGTTTATTGACAGTTTTATCTAATGTCTGATAGAGTTTTTGTTAAAATAAATTAATAATAGGATATTTCTCCTTTACATCTTCCAATATTAGTTATATCCCTTAGTAACTGAGTTGAATATTTCATAACATTAAAATACCCCATAATTGCTTCACATCATATTTAATTAATTCCCCACATTATCTTTTGCTTTAAGCCAATTACACCAAATGCCAGCTCCTCCTTTTTCCGTTTATCGTGCTCTCTGCCATTATTTCTATCCACCTACTATTTGCAAAACAATCCCGACCAAAGTGTTTACATACATTGACTGAACAATCAGAACCCAAAATGCCATTATATTTATGCAAAACAACAGAGTGGAGCGGGCAAAAATCACGAAAAAGCTATAACAACAAAACATGCAATAATTTTATTGCCCGGAGTGGACCTCCTAACTATGGCCCCAAACACATGGGCTGTCATTAATAATGGCCACAGACGCTATAATTCACCCCGGCGGGAGGTGGGCGGTGGGGAAGTGGCATCGGATGTCTCCCGCTCATGAGAGCGTACAAAATGGCGACCATTTGCATTAAATGATTGCTAAAACGAAGGACGAAAGGAGTTGCGCTCCCGCTCTTTCGCCGTCTGTGTCCAAAAACGGTTTTAATTATGATAACAGCGCAATTATTCTTGTCAAGATCATTTGACCAACCACCCACTTTCATGCAGATGCACTGAGAGAAATTAAATTCGTATCTTAACATATCAGAACAATTTTTTTGCTGCATACTTTTTGAATACCAAAATTCCTTTAATTTTTCACTGAAGTGGGGGTGATACATCACCCATCCCGTGGATCCGCGCATGTCTATGAGTAAATTTGAAATTTAAATGAGAATTTAACAAGGACTTATTCAATTAAAAGTTTCTAGATGTTTTAAAGTATTTTCGCGATTAAAAAATAAAAAAATCTAGAATACAAAATTTCATTAAGATCTTTGAACTTTCGAAAATTGAGGTCGAGAGTTTTCATATAAATAAGAGCTATTTGCATTTGCTAACAGTAAACCATAAGATTAAATATCATTCCCAACATCTTGATTTCTCGCTGTGTACTCGCCACTTTGCATTTTGTCTGTCTGTCATAATTTGGCTTGCTTTTTGGGGGCGGCTGTTGTCCAGTTTCTGCCTTTTTGTTTGTCAATTTGCATACTATCATCGTCATGGCTGTTTTTCATCTGGCTCTGGCTAACACACACTGGCACACATGCACGCACACTAATTGAATATGTATGAAGCTGGCATGCTGGCCGGATGCCCATCGTTGTCGTTGTCCCTTCTGCATTTCGTGCCATCCCGGGTCCAGAATTTAATTTACACTCACCCAAAAGTCATGCAGTCATTTGGCATGTCTATCAGGGAGACGAGTTGAGACAGCGCGGAGGAAACGGGGGAATAGCGGGTGAATGTGGGGAATATTCGGGGGTCGGATTCAGCCCGAAATCCTGCAGTTTCCATCCATCTCGCTGTCCATTTGTACTCGTCATCAGCGCATTCTCTGCCGTCCTCCGCTCCCCTTCGTCCTGTTTAGTCCTTAGCACAAAATGACGCATATTTAGCTGCAGCTCAAGCCATCAATCCTGAATGTTCATCTATCTATCTCTATCTCTGTTCCCTCGCCTTCTCTGTTTCAGCTTCTGTTGCCGTCTCTGTCTGCCCTGTGCCTCATTCTTTAGCAATTAATCATTTTTCCTCATCATAAACGTGATTTCTTTTCCACTCCTGATTGCGCTCAGTTGTGTGGCGAGAAAAGGTTTTCCCTTTGGGTGGAGATGGGGATTGGGGAAGGTATTTTGGAGGGATATCTGATTCGGAAATATTTGTTACTCTTTGAGCAGCATAAGTTTGATTATAATTCAATTTTGGTCGAATGTAAATTATAAAATTAAAATTAAAATAAACTATTATCTAAGTGATAATCAGTTAAATAATTATAATTGGATTTTAAAAAGTGACTTCATCTAAATATATTACTTTTTTTATTTAGTAATTTTGGTGAATAACCAATATGGTAGTAATAAAAAATGTTCTTAAACTTTTGTTTGTGCAATCATCAGTATTTTTATAGTAGTTCCCGAAAACCCCTTGTGAAGAGTCTAACTTTTCTTTTATAACTCTTTTGAAACCCGCCGTTTTCTGGTGATTTTTAAACCTACCGCAAACCAATTAACTTGCCCGGCTTATGACTAATTCAAGAGCTACAAGGAACCGCAGCACAGATTCAGATACGCGGCGAAAGATACAAAGTCCCGGACGACACACGCGTCGAAACCACGGACCATCGACCACGACACGTGCGTTTCCCCGGGTCGGATTACAACAAAAGTTGATGACAACAAATTTGACGACACAAAGGATTTATTTGTTGATAACATTTCCTTCTTTTTTTCTGGTGTTGTATGGGTGGAAAAAAGGGAACTTTAAAATGGTGGAGGATAACACGTTGCACTAAGCCTTTAGCACGCGGTCCCCGGGAGAATGGGTCCCATTGAAACCCATTGGCGCCATTTTGTGTTTCAACGTAAGGCCGAAAAATCCACGAGATTTGCCTTTCAATAAAAATGCAAATTTGTCAGAAAAGTCAGTGGCAGAACAAGCGGAGTTCTGCTTACTTCTGTCTACCTTTTTCGGAGTCACTTCCTGTTTTATTATTTTGTTTGGTTTCGGGTTGATTGCCTCATCCGCCATTTTTATGAGTTTTTAATTTGCATTTGCCAAAAGGCAGGACCCCATTTTTTGGCGGGATTAGTATTTGGAGTTCAAATCTGCTTACCTTAACCTGCGACTCGGACATTCCTAAGGCATAAGCGAGCTTGGCACGCTCGGGTCCGGCCAGATATTTGGTTTGCTCGAATGTCTTCTCCAGGGCGAAGATCTGCTGACCACTGAATGTTGGGCGGGTGTGTTTCTTCTTGCCATCCTTGTCGTTCGATGGGTGATGCTGATGCGACTGAGATAGATTGGCGGACACTAAAAAGAAACAAAATTACAATATTATAAACTTTAGAATACTTTTGTTCAATTTTTAGCCATTAAAAATAAATATATATCATTTTCCCATTTATCAAATTGGAATCCATATAATTAGCCCCTTAACTTTCTCACCTCTGCCTTTTATTTCTTCATTACGACCCAAAAACTTTTCGAATTTCTAAAATTCAAACACTTTGAGTACCTTGTTTACAGCGTTTCTCAAAATGTATACTTTACGTCTCCCCGAAAGTGTTTATTATGAATTGTTAAATAATTTCGCCGTAAAGATGTGGACAAAGTTGTTTAGCGCATCCTGGGGTGGTTGGAAAACGGTTGCCTTTTTGCGGCAGAAAAGTTTTATGACATTTATTAATTGTTTACGAGGCGACAGCTGCTAATTTGGGAAGAAACTTTTGGGACAATGGCAGGGTAAAAGGTGTTTAGGGGTTGTCAACTACAATCAAATGATTTTAAATCCCTATAAAATATTTAAAGAAATATATTACCAAAATGATTAAATGCATAAAACTTAGTTCTGTAAAATATACAAAATTCTAATATTAATTAACCTCAAAAAATGAATTCTCTTACTCCATATAAATTTCAACATGATTAATATTATTTTCCCAGCCGAATAATAATTGCGCCCTAATTACAATGTGCCAGCAAAATGAATGTACGAAATATTCGACTGAAAAAAGTCCCTATACTCACGTCTGCCCAATTAACAAACCGAAATTGACCACAGCAATTTATGGTACAAGAAGCTGGAGGACGAAAACTTCTGCCGTCGAGGGTCGTCGGAGCCTTCATTAAAATCAATTAGCAAAAGCGACGACGACGACAGCGAGAGGCCAATAAAAGCGAGCCAAGTGGTCCAAAAACAGAACGCCCATCCGACGGCCACGCCCCCTCACCAAAGTGGGACTGCCATGGGCGTGGGCAGGGGGAGGGGGCATTTGCCAGGGGGACTACGTGCCCTGTTCGCTCGTAAAGTCAGTCAAGTGGACATGGAGGGTGGTCATAAAATTAAACGGTAGCTGTGGGAACGGCAAAAAGAGAGTGGGCGGTGGTGGGTTGTGTGTGTGCTTTCAATTAATGTCACCCCATTATTAAATGATCCCTAATTATGTGAAATGATTTAACTAAATATGCACGAGGCAGAACCCAAAAGGGAACATCGGATGGAAAGGCAAATGGGGTTTTGGTAAAAGGTAAAGCCACAGACAGCCGTTGCCCTCAAAAGGGGTGGTCCTTTCTTTTTTTCGATCTGCCTTGGGCTGAAACTTTGTGTCCCTTTATGATACTTTGGTGCCATTTGCGCAGAATTATTAATTTAAATGGTTATTTCTAACAGCTTTCATATAGATAAGGTTCTTTTTTATATGGGTTAAGCCCTGCACTATGCTACATTATATGGGATGGCAGGATGTGCGTTTCGGTGGAAGAAAGGATTGTAATTAAATGGGATGAGTTAAACTTATCAAAGGATAAGATCTAACAAAATAAAACTAAACATTTTACTTTTATATAATAAGTTTAGAATTAAAATAAAATGTTTAGTTACATTATTAAATAATATTTAAATTCAGAGATAGCAGCCTTCAAAAAGTCTTTAGCTTTTCCATTCCATTTTCATGTCAGCTGCTACTCTGTTCGAATTATGAAAACAAAATGCCTTGCCAAATAAAAATGTGTGTGGCATTAAATTTATACGTTTTTATTTTTTTTCGTTTTTCGCAGACAATTCTGGAGCTTAACAAGACTTGTCAATAAAGGGGGATAGGATGTGCGAGGGTCTCTCCCGCGGACTTTCGCTTTGGATGGGGTTCCGCAATGTAACAAGCGTAATCCCTTGCAAGAAAAATTGTAGCAGTGATAATTTTTTTATTCTCTTTCGGTATAGCTATCTCGCTTTGCCCCTTGCTTGTGTCTCTTTCGCTCTGCCTGTGTTCCTTGGCCGTTGGCAGCTGCGTCCTGCAAGGACCCTCATAAATAACCGACAAATATGAAGCGTTTATTTGCTCATGTCACGGCCCTCAAACGCAATGCAATGAAATGGAAATGGTCCACCCCTGCCCCCATTTCATGCCCCCTCCGCACGCCACTGTGTCCTTCGATTGAGGCAGTGGCAGTTGTCTATAATCGCATAAGTCACCCTGTTGGCATCGCTGCATTTGCACTTTTTCCTCCCAGCACTCGAATTCTTTGCTCTGCCTTTTTTTCCTTCACTGCCAATATTTTTTACGGCATTAATATTTTTTGGTCATTCTTATGGCGGGGTGGTAAGCAAAGTCAAGGTGGGCGTGTGCTGTTTTGTGTAAACGTTTCCCTTATTGAAAACATTAAAACGTCATTTATTATCGGGCGTGATGGAAAAAAGAAGCAGGAAAGGCGGGAAAATTTGAGAGGATGGGGGATGAGTTCAGCGAGAAAATCGTTAGCACCAAATGTTGATAGACACGGGATCATCTTATGAAATCATAAGAATAATAGAATTTTCAGGGTTTATTGAAAAATTTGTCGTTAAAATAATAATTGTCATAAAAAAATCATCAATTTGCAGTTCAAAATGACAATTGTTTTTATACATTTCTAACATATTAAAATTTTTGTTGGCGTTCAAATTAATATCTCCAATTTTTTAGTTGGAAATTTTCACTAAACAACATTTCTATTTTCAAAAAGTCCGTTTGCCGGAATTACCAAATCAAAATGATTGTCCAATTATAAATCATTGTCAGTTGGAGCTTCTTTTTTATCTCCAATACTCGCAAAACCCAAATCATTTCCAACCGCTTCTCACGTTGAAATAACAATCTTGTAAAATGTTTATGCCAATCTGGTTGTTGAGCAGTAAAATCCTTGCACACCAGTTGGGGCGGATAATCCGCACCTTTTTATTTACCCCAGGTATTCTATGAGATATACATACACACATACGCATACATAAATATAAAGTGGGATGGTCGGTTGGCTCATTAAGTGGCACTGCTGCCATCCCTGTCCTTCCCTCGTGTCTTGTGCGGTGTTTTATGGCCTGTTTTATGCCCGATTATATGCTTAAAGCACAAGTTTTACAGTGAGCCAAGGGAGGGGGGAAATGCCGGAGGGGATGACACAGAAAATGCCACTTGAATTTTAATTAAACGCAACAGCTAGACAGGCTAGTGCCCTCTCTTTCTGCTGTCTTCATTAAGCTTAATGAATTGTGTCAAACGCCGACTGCGGTTTCAGTTGCCGTCCCGCCCTGAGTTTACGATTCCATTCCTCTTGTTCTGTATTTACTTTTTATGCCAAAGTTAATTATTTCATTAGCACAATGCGGTTACATGCTTTATTTTAATTTGGCTTTTAATGAATAAAAGTCAGCTATGGAGGGCTGAGAAGTTTTGTTTGTTAGGAAACTGTGGCTAAAAATGGCAATTTGCGACACGAAAACACATTTTAGTTATTTTGCGCTTTAATATACATACATATTTAATAATACTAATTTTTTTTAGCAAGTAAAATGCTTTTATAAATTTCCATGCAGATAACCCAATAAATTGCTTTGGCTGACCCATTTGATTAACCATTTATATCACAGCGATAACTAACCTACCCCATATTTTGCCCCCCACTGATAAGCCAACTTATCCAAATAGTTTCCATGCCGCACTATCTATAAGCCAACTTAATCCCTTTCAATCATAATAAATAAAATTCCGCAATGAACTTGCATAAATTGAATGCCAATAAATTGCAATTAATGAATTGCAGGGCAAATATTGATAATAAACAATGAAAATAATCACAATAATAACAGTAAACAGGTGAAAATGCATAAAGGAAAATAAAAAAAAAGATAAACCTGGCTACCAAATGAAATGAATAATTTCAGGGCTTAATCAAAGAGTAAATAATGCCACCCGAAAGCTAATCAAATGCAATTGCATTATTAATAACAAATAAAATGTGCTGAAAAATAGGAGAACAAAAAATCATAGCATACTTTCGAGGGCAGGAAACGAAATTCAAATGAGTTTGCATGTGTGTTTGCGTGTTATGAGCACACACATGCAGCAGGGAAAGCTTTCTCCCTTGTTAACATGACAGCCTACAAGCATATAAACACAAACACATACTTCTATGTATATGTATGTTTGTTAGGCTGCTCCATTTCGGGATAAAAAGGAAGAAAAACAGAATAAAGTAAAACAAAACACCCCCCCGTATTTCAGATAGATAATAATGTGGCAACATATTCTCGCAGCGTCTGTGTCTGCCCTTATCTTCCTATATACATTATATACACAGCCAGTCTGCTTTAACATTTTGTTTTCGGCTAAACGAAAGTTTTTTCCGTCTGGACCCACCAGCTGTCGCATCTTGGCAGCCGTAAATACGTATATACACGAATAAATAAAAAATGGATATAAGGATTGGTTGTATGTTTATGTAAATAGGGGAAAAATGAGAATGTTTTACGTGGCCAAAGTTAACCAAAACAAAAATGATGTGGAAACAATGAGCCGAAGCAACTGACAATTGAAACATGTTTCTCAAATTCCATTCTATTTTATGGCTTGTTGGCGTTGTCTGCGATTTTCAAATGTAAAAGTATTGATTTTATGCGAGAAAGAAGTGGATAAACACAAAGAAAAAAAAGATCTTGAGACTTTAAGAATTTTTTGACTTGTAGGTTTCTAAATGATAAAATAATCTTTAGATTATTACTTAATTGTGGCATTCATAAAACTGAAATTAATAACACTATTTACAACATTGAGCTTTCACTTTTTAAACAAAACTGTTTTATAATCTTTAGCAAAAGTTAAATCATTTTAAAATCTATTTATACAAGGAGCTATTTTGGGGACCAGTACCTTTTCATCCTATCATAATCCCTAATTTTGTGCTGACTTTATCGTCGCCTTTTTCGCTGCTCTGTTTAGCAAATCAATTAAATCAATATTTTCTTAATGTTGCCCACGGAGCTACCAAAAGCGTGAAAATTCCTCGGCACATAACGACACACTTCAGAAATCAAATCGAACTCAAGACAAACATAAACAGCGAGTTTGTGCCACGAATCCACTCTCCACTCTCCACGATCGCTGAATGCAAGAAAATTGTGAACGATTTCCGAGTTTTGGGCCAAGAGACTTTAGTGCCAAGTCATGGCCGCAATTAAAAGGCAAACAGCAGCAGCAGCAGTAGCCCACAGCACTAAATCAAATCAATTGCCAATGCGAACCCGAAGACGAAGGCGATAATGACGAGGAAGAGGGGGCCTTTAAACAAATAAACAATTGTTGGAAATGGAAAAAAGGAAAACGAGTTTTGAGCTGGTGGCACATTACTTAATGAGCTTAGCGATGCCTATAAATAGATGTAATAATGAAGTAACCAGATCAGAAATCAGAAATCGGTTGGTCAGTAAATTAATTTTTCATATGTGCCGGGTGCCATCCCATCGTATCGCCTCCCATCCCGGCATCATCATCGCCATCATTATCGACTTTTGTGTGGAGTCATGCTGAAAGAGAGCTCTCCGTACCCGCTGATCGTGTTAAAGTGGTTCCTCAACACTTATTAATGAGTCGGACAATGCAACTTGCCCCCGTTGTAAGTCGCATTGGTAATCACTTGAGAAGCCCATCGCCTGATCACCGTGATCATTAGTTGGGCATTCGGTGCGCTTTGTTAACGGTTCCTCATTTCCCCGGGTCCCCAGATACCCAATCCGATCCAATTCGATCCCCACCTCCTGAACAGGAAGTTGAAATCGCAACGAGGTGTGCCCGCTTACAATCGTAACCAAATTACGCGCGTGATTCAGTGATCCCATCGAGAGTCAATCGATCGACCGCAAATTAATGCTTGTTTGCTGACCATTCCAAATTCACTTACTCGTATTGGAGAGGCGTTCGCGCCACGCTATGGGATTGGCCACCAGTCCCTGTAATCCTGGCCAGTACAGGTGCGTGCGGTCCACTATGTGTCCAGCGTGGGTCTTCAGAGGCGCCCCCTGACTTTGGGAAAGATATTGGGCCATTCCCGCTGCGGCGGCGGCGATCGAGAAGCGGGGGATGCCAGCTGGGGGAAAATAAAGAAAATAATTGGTAATGAGTTAAGCAGTAATATCTTCGAAAATATCTTTCAACGGAAAGTTTAATCCGAATGCCAAAGAAATCTTTTATTTTTGGATCCAAGCTATTAAAAAGTGTGATCACTAAATATTTTTAAGTGTTCTTCATTATAATAAAAAGTAACTGATTTATTATATGAAAATGATAAAAAAATTAAAAATACATATTTCATTTTAAAACATGATTTTTTTAACGAATTGGGGATTATCATAATGTTTTTCAATTTAAAATACATATAATAACAATACATTGTTATATTTTAAGTTTTGACTCACATCTTTCTAATACCTTTCCCTAAAGTTTTATTATTAAAAAATTTTTTTAATTATACCCGTTACTCGTAGAGTAAAAGGGTATATTGTATTCGGGCAAAAGTATGTAACAGCTAGAAGGAAGCATTTCCGACCCTATAAAGTATATATATTCTTGATCAGGATCACTAGCCGAGTCGATCTAGCCATGTCCGTCTGTCCGTCCGTCTGTCTGTATGAACGCTGAGATCTCGGAAACTATAAAAGCTAGAAGATTGTAATTTTGCATGCAGATTCCAGGAGTTCCTACGCAGCGCAAGTTTGTTTCAAAACGGTGCCACGCCCCCTCTAACGCCCACAATCTTATATACGATTTTAAAAATTTCAATATTTTGGAAAAGTAAAAATGCAGTTTTATTGTGTTTATCAATACCTATCGAAATGTAGAATAAAATTTTTTAATCGGACCATTCGTTAAAAAGTTACGGCGGATTAGCTGAGTAACGGGTATCTGATAGTCGGGGCACCCGACTATAGCGTTCTCTCTTGTTTTTACCTAAATTACTTTTGTAAGTGGAATTTATAACTATTTTATTCTTTATTTCATTTTTTCATTTCATAAATAAATCGCATAAAGAAGAAATCCCCAATCTATACATTTTAATAAAGTTCAACAAATGGTTTAAATGATCTAACGAATTTATGTAAGAAAAACATTTTTTATAAGCCTGATTTTTAAGAACGCAAAAGTGATCTTATCAATCACGATGGCAATACTTCGTGATCAATTGTATAATACCAATAAAAATACCCACCCCATTAACTAATCCTCTCAAAAGTTTATTTCCCTTCATGAGATTTTCGCCCAATTTGTTCTCAGCTGGCCAATTTTTCTGCCCACTCATGCTGAACTCATACACACAATGCGGAATTTGTTCGAATTAATTAAAGGCCATTAAATAATTTGTCATAAAAAGAATAAGGGACATTTTTGGTGACCGAGACATTTAAAGAAAAAAATCGAACGAAAAAATTGAACGAATCGAATCACATAAACGCCCTCGTTAAAAATAATTAAAAATGTTATGGCAAATTGTCAGCACCCTGTCGGCCGCGCCCCCTTTCAATCCACTGTCATGTCACACAATTGGACCACATCTAAGTGAAAAAGTCGAAAAATCAGAGACAGAGAGGCTGAAAAACAAAATCGTTTTAGTGAAACGACATCGTCACAGCCCCTGCCACCCAATCCCCATATTGCCCACGTTTTTCGTGTGTCATTTTGATTTAATTACAAACAATTTGACAACTAATTGCTGCAACATTTAACGTTAAAACGCGTATCTCATTACGTTTTGTGGTAATTTTGCAATTGGATATTATAACCATTTGGGGCTTCGTAGAAAACGCTGTGCTCAATATCTAAAATTGCCCTGATTAGGTAAAGGGGTTCGGGGGCGTAATGACAGAGGGGGGGGAAGGGGGGGGCTGTGGGCTGGGGAATGGCTTTTATTGAATCATATGGAATCATGCCAAACCGGATTCGTAAACAAAACAACAATTTTCGGTCGTTTTTGTTCGGTGGGGTAGCTCTTTTATTTTTCTGTTTGGTTTGCGAAACGAGTTTTTGAAGCATTTAAAATATTTCGCGTTTTTTGGCCTGTGTATGTATGTGTTTGGTGCATACATAATATCTATTGATTCGTGGTTGATATATATTTTAGTGTTGCATAATGATTTGGTGAGTTGAATTGCGGTCTTGGAGCAGCAAATTGTGGGTGAATAGGGGTTACGAGGTTTCTAACAGGTTTTCGAGAAATCTCACTAAACTTTTTTAAATGGAGAAGCACTTGCCTTACTTGCAATAACTAATTAATTATTATAATTGAATCTTATTTAACCATGGATCAAAATTCAAAATATATTATGTAGTCGAAAAGAATATTTTTGAAATTTTATAAAATGAATTTTGAAGCATAGCTTAATTAGATTACCCAATAACTTGTACCATCAAATGTAAAGTGTAGAACTTCTAAACAATTTGTATAGGATCGATTCCACAGGCCGACAAAATGTGACATGGGTCGGTGTCCAGGCCTGCCACCATTTTATTTCGATAAATGAGGCTTTTCTAAGCATAAGTTGCCACTACGCCTATAGTCCATCAGCTCTGGTATTTGCGGTATCTTTAATTTAAGAAAATCACAAATTTTCTTCGTCTTTTGGGATATATCTTCAAGAGTGGTCAACCAATTTTGGTAATCTTTTCGGAATTAAATAGTTACATGTCTCTTTTATACGGTCGTTTTGGAAAATTCAATCTAACTCAACCCCAAGAGGAGGTGGGCGCATTCAAAATTTTAAAGTCACAGGTTTGGGCACTGTTTGTGAATCGTGACTGTGAAGGAAGTAAGAAAAACAATTTTAAAAATTCCAAAACAATTCACAAAAACCTGATGAGTGTCCAAAAAATTAGGGACATAAGGTGTCTTTGGATCAAAAATGCATCGTAGAAGAAAATATTTTTATTTAATTTTTAAACGCTGTTCACAAATTAAGATTTTTAAACTTTGCTGTGACTTTAAAATTTTGAATGCGCCCACCTCCTCTTGTGGTTGAGTTAGATTGAATTTTCCAAAACGACCGTATAAAAGAGACATGTAACTATTTAACCCCGAAAAGATTACCAAAATTGGTTGACCACTCTTGAAGATATATCCCAAAAGACGAAGAAAATTTGTGATTTTCTTAAATTAAAGATACCGCAAGTACCAGAGCTGATGGACTTTAGGCGTAGTGGCAACTTATGCTTAGAAAAGCCTCATTTATCGAAATAAAATGGAGGCAGGCCTGTACATCGACCCATGTCACATTTTGTCGGCCTTGTTCTTAACCAAAGATTAGCTTAACTTTTTTGTAATAAAAACATTCTTTTAAATTTAATTTAAATTAAATTCATTTAGAAATTATGATTGTTAAAAAATTTGACACTTAAAATAGAAACAGATTTCCGCCTAGTCTTTTGAATGATAAAATTATTATATTTAATTTATTTTTATTGTAATAAAAAGCCCTCAAATTCACGGAGATTACTCCCTTACTCCTTTACTCACCTCCTGTTAAAGCACTTAGACCTGCCGATGTAACCGGCGGCGGTTTGGAGAGGATGGTATCGATGCCGTGCGGATTGGGGGCTCCCTGGCTATTGGTGTTCGTGGTCGTGGTGGAGGACGACGAAGAACTGCCGCCGGATCCCCGATCGCTGATCAGATGAGAGTTCGGGCTGTGTCCGTAGGACAATCCATTGCCCGCGGCCGACGACCCACCCACCCCCTGACCCGTCTTCATTTCCGCGGTCATCGAGTGAAGAGCGGCGAGCGGAGGACCCAGAAAACTCAGCGGCAGCTTGTGATCCATGTGATTGTTGTTGTTGTGGCCACCGGGATTGCCGTGGTTGGCATTGTGCAGTGCCAGCGGATTGACCCCGTGGTGGTGCTGAAACTTCGCCCGCTGGCTGGTGAGATTCTCGGGACTGTAGTCGTTCTGCACCTGCGGCGGTGGACTGGCGGACTCGCTGGTCTGGCAGGGATCCTCCGCTCCACTGCTCCGCTGGCTCAGGGCATATGACTTGGCGCTATCCACACCGGGACTGGAGTTGTGCTCGTATCGCGGCGAAGGCGAGGAATCGGAGTGGAGTCGGGAGGAGGCGGGTGGTGGTGTCGTTGAGGGCGAGTCCGAGTCCTTTAGTCCACCGCCATGGGCAGCCGCCTTCAGCAACATCAGCGGACTGCTGTTGTTGTTGTTACTGCTATTATTGTTATTGTTATTATTGTTATTGTTGTTGGCATAAACGGCCGCTGCAGCCGCTGCACTGTGGTAATCGGCCAACTGTTGTTGGTAGTCCGCCGCTGCCATCGCATGGGCGTGGACGTCGGCGAATCCGTTGCTCATGGCCGCCGCCAAATGATGACGCTGAGCCGCTGACGGGGGACTCCCCTGGGCGGCGGCCGCGAAGCTGTGGTGTCGCATATACGGATTTATCAGATCCATTTCGGGCGCTTCGTGGCCGTAGTCCAGGCACTCAGAGGGCTGCCTGTAGAAACTGGGCGGCAGGGCCAAGTTAAAGGCCGAATTGGCGGACAGCTGGAAGCTCTGGGCCAGCTGTTTGGCCGCCACCTTGGCGTCTGGCGGTGGGGGCGTGGGCGAGGGATTGCTGCTGCCACCCGCCGGCGTGATGCTCAGGAATGGACTACCCAGCTTGTGATCGGTCTGCGGATAGGTTTTCACTCTGAGAAGATGGAATCTTTAGGATCTGCGCTTGCCGATGTGGTCAAAAATATATTCTTGAAGGAATAAAGACCTTGACTTAAGCTTTCTCAGTTTTATTTCTTGTTTAAATTTCGAAATAATTATATCTGAAGGCTATCCTTTTTTATAACGCCTAAGGATTATATAATTTTTCCAGATTTGTATTTTCTGTTTTGTATTTTTTGTTATCTTATGTAGGAGTTCTTGAGTCCAATTTATCAGCACTTAACTTTCCGATTTATGCAATCTTTCACTTTCCCAGAATACTTTACAGGTTTTTTATTTTTAGTATTATTATTGGGTTTAACTTTTCGATCACACGGTAATCGAATAAGGTTTATTGTATATCAAAGATCAATAGATCTTATATCCCTTTATTCACAAACACGAAACCAATTTTGATCATAAAACCGTTGCGTTTATATCGTTCTAAGGTTTTATCAAACTACACTTGGTGTTCACCGATTTTAAGCGAGATCAGGCTACCGATTTTGGTAACTCCGTGGCCGGGAAGTATCGGAGTTCGGAGTGAATGAAGACCCGCGCGTGTCCGCTTGCTTAGGCCTACGACTAGCGAATGATTTTGAAATTGACTTGACTGGCCCTCAGTCGCACAATCTCAGTTTCAGTTTCAGTTTCAGTTTCGGTCTTTGGTTTTTGGGCTGGGGGTACGGCTTTCAACCCTCCGTATTCCGGATTCCACTCGCAGCATCACACCGCTTGCGGGTGCGAGTGAGAGCTGTGTATGTGGTCGTCCCCTTCGCACACATCGCTCTGTCTCTCTCTCGCCCACAAGAGCGCTCCACAATCAGTGTAAACATGAAATGCAGACTGGAACGCAGTGGCATTGGCACAAAACGAATGGGAATTTTATTATGTACATCATTAAAATCAACTATTTCGGATTCGGATTGGAGCCTGGGACTGAAACGGGAACTTATCCTGGTACTGGCGGAGTCCGCTCGCACCTCCTTTTGTCCCTTTCTGGCCCACTGTACTGGCGTGTGGCTGAGTGCATTTTCATGGCTTTTTCCCTGGCTCCCTGGATTGTGGGTGGCCTTTTTGTCGACTGCGAATTCCGTTTATTTGTTTAAAAAGCTATAAATATTGAGACGCGGGGCTGGCAGCTTTTTTCGTTGGCCTTATTCATTTAAATAATTAAAAATTGGGCTGACGATAAATGAGAGCAATAAATGTAAGAGGAAAACTAACGGTTCAGGAATAAAGTTGGGGAAAGGTAACCTAAATTTATTATTAAATTTTTAAAAGGGAAAGGGAACAGTTTTAGTAAAATAAATAAAAAAATATGTTTTCGTTTATTATAGATAAATGGTTAAACCTAAGCTATCCCTAAAATATAATTTGCTTTCAAACATTATTCTCCTGATTTCCCCTACCCATTCTTTCAACAGCGAACTGAATTAATACGCTAATTAACATTTTAATATTATTATGTGCTGTCGGTGGGTCAGGGATTGTTAACCCACCGTCGGCCAACGATTTATATTTATGTTTATCTATATAAAAATGCCTCTGTTGCTACACGAACACACACTCACACATTGGCAGACAGACAGGCGGTTCACATACAAATACAAAAATGCGCTTCATTTAATAATAAACTACACAAAATTTTAATTTACTCAGACAAAACGGTGAGATCTCATAGGAATGAAACGGGAAATGGAATCGTGGGCAAGGCCACGCCCACAAAATCCAGAGAGAAAGAGAGAACTTCGACCGCCATTGTTGAATGAGTGAAGGTGAGTGGGAGAAGGAGAGATAGAGAGAAAACCACTCAACCGTCGAGTGAGTGGAGTATCTCTATCTTTTGTTGGGTAATTTTCCACCACAGCTTGTTGATTTTCGACTGTGTTCTTTATTTAATTGACTTTGCCGGCCCCATAAAAATGTTGACTGCTTAAACCTTAAATACTCCCAAAAACCTTACTCATTCCTAGCTCTTTATATTTCCCCTAAGCAGCCCGCATCTTCGGCTTTGATCTAAAATAATTCAATATAAATTTATGCATGGAAAAAAACATGTCATAGAATTTTCTCGTATCGATGTTAACAGATCTCAAGCAAAAAACTTTGAAAAATAAACACTTGAAATATTTATAGTAATATTGGCAAACAACATTTTGTATGTTTTTGATAGAAACAAATTTTTTCCTTTCTAACGAATTAAAATTTATTAAGTCATGAAAATTAATAATAATAAAAAAGTAATAACAAAAAATTATTAAAATAAAAATTGTCCCTTTAAAATTTAGTGTGTATGTCCGTTCAAACATAAAATAAAATAGATATACATTTTTTACAGTGTAATCAAAACCCCTAAAAATTTGAAGCTCAAAAAAAAAATGTAACAAGACTCTAAAAAGTTGGTTAAAGATAACAAAACAACACAAGCCCTAACTGTGATTGATTTATTGTTTTATTGTGCCAAAAAAAAGAGAAAAGGAAAAAACTGAGAAGGAAGCTGGAGAGAGAAATTAAAATTTACAACAACGATAAGCAGAGAATTGAAAACACTATTAAAGGCCTAGAGTTGGACACAATCTCGGTCCACATCTTTTGAGCAACTCGAATCAAGCGAGGCTGCGCTGGGTAATTAATAAATAATTTGTGAGATTTTTATTTTCTTTCACATGTTGGCCCTAAAATCTTAGCTCAACTGAGTAGAATCGAAAGGTAAATAGCCATGGCTAATGTCTTGGATTGGTGCTTATGGAGAAGAAGATGGGGAAATCGGCAGGAGATTACCCCGCACTCACAGTTCATTAAACTCCGAATGGAGGTACGACTTTGGTATTTACGACTTGACTGTTCCACGTTTCCAGGTAGCATTTTCAAATTTTCTAAGAAAACCAAAATGGAGACGGGAATGAATAAATTTAGTTATTTTAAACTAATCATTTTTAGACATTTTCATATTTCTCATCCTCAAAACTCGACCAATCTAAACTTAAGACTTGTAACGAACACACTCGATGAGCGTTGTCCACCCTAACACCTCTGTCTACGTTTCGGTCTACCGGCCTACTCAGGGAGCTGGGTGTGGCTTTGTGTTAAGATAGAACAAGAGTGTCACAGAACTAACAGTAGTAGACAGAGAAACGATATCGATAAGAACTTAAACCCAACGGCTAAGATTCGGACGAGAGAGTGTACCTATCGAGGCCCAGATGGTAATGGCCTCCTTCTATACCCACCCTACCTGTAAAGTCTCATCAGACTCTACCCTTAAGTAACCGCTGCGCTACATTCTCTTAGGGGCCCTCAAAAGATAACAATTTAATTCATATTAAACTTCATCTTTAAAACTCCAAATGCGATAATACGGTTCATTCTTAATACTAATAATGCTAACACTAAGTCCTTAAGACTAAACGTTATTTACGTTAAGCGACTCTCTATACGGTCGTGATTGTATTTACGATTGTCAAAAAGAAAAATGAAAATGAAAGTATTTACTTTACGTTAAATTGTGGTTGATTACATTGTGTTATCGATATACGATATTCTTATTCAAACAAAAGGCACTTAGGCAGATCAAGTTAAATTATTCTAACGATTCTTATTTAATGTCCAATATACGGTATATGTTTTATGATAGTAGTTAAGTAAATATATATACCAAATGTGTGGGCTTAGACAAGAATGAATATATGGTTAAATGTTTTGACGGCTATGCCGTACTTACGAACTCTCCAACGAAGTCAGCAGGCCTGATGACGATCGATGTGTGCTGTAGAACTTTGAAGTGTTTATGTAATGGTTATATATGTCAATCTATATCATAAGCACATACGATATAATGTTGCTAAATAGGAATCGTAAAGTAAATTAGAATCTTATCTTAATTGTGTTGGAAATAGAGAAAACTAAACTACTTTTACTTAATGCGATACAAAGAACAAGTTGGCAGCCCTGGCCAACGTGAACTGGAACCAGAATTGGAACTGAAATTCCAATTGGGATGAGACTTCGTGTTTGCGCGTGCTTGCGCGGACCTTGACGAATCGGCGCCGGTGAGACTCGTCCGACTGGATCGGACCTGCACGATGAAAGCCTCACGCGGGCTTGGTAAGGTGGAAACGGCGTTCCTTGATGCCGCTTGCGGTTGGACGCTGACAAACTAGGTCCGGTATGACGAACAGTGTGGGAGTCCAGGCGTGGAAAGGAGAAAAGATCCACTTCACGCGGTGTGCGCCTTTACAGAAATCCTTTATGTAGATTCAGGCGTGGCGATGATGAAATACGACCCAGGCGTGGGCTCTGATGAAATGTCAAGTCCAGGCGTAGAGCTGATGCAAATCCAGGGCGTCGCGCTTGCGTGGCACGGATGCAAAAAATGTTACCGCTGTAGCGGCTCCAGCTCCTTGCTGTGCGCAGAGGGAGGGCTCGCAAACTTTTGCAATTCTTGGAAATCGCACGTGGTCGCTGGTTTCTGCGTTCTGGGGAATTCCAGTCAGAAAACGACAACATTTCGGAGAAATTAACTCACCAACAAGAATAGGAACAGTAATAGGAGAAAATATGCACAGATTAGCAGGGAATTCACTCGCGGATGATTGGATGCGATCGAATTAAGTAATTTTTACGGAGCGGACGCTGATATAAAAGAGGCGGAAATCATGGCTTTTAGTGTGAACGTCGTATGCGTGAAATCCCAAAATCCTTAAGTATGGTATTTTCGGGTGATTAGTGTGAGGATCGGATCCTTGCTAATAGCAAGGTTGCATTTGGGGTAAATGACTTAGCTGGAATGTCTTAGCTTAAGCCTAGTACTCAGTTCGGCTAAGAGTTTTACTAGTCGAAAAATATTAATATTTTAGGGTGACCGAAGTTTTCGGAGTTCATCCGCAATGCATGTAGAATGGTCTTACTCTCAGCAAGCAAATTAACTGGCGCCAATTTTGAAATATTACAAAATGATTAGCCGACCTAGGTCGCAAGCTTTAAATTTGCTGTTGGAATGAGGATATATATTGCTGCAACTCCTATAGGCAGTTTTCCATTGGTTTTTGGGGTTTTCATTCTATTTATAATATGTTATTGGCACACCGCTTCTGCACAAACACAGCCAAAGATCAAATTTTTTATTCTTTGGGCCGCTGCTAAAGGCGTTCATCAGAATTCATCCGCTAAATCTAGTATTTTAGTGGTATTTTCTTACTATTTCCTTAGCTCAACTGAGTACCGAGGTGGAAAAAAGTCCCCGGCTAAGGGCTTTAGCTACCTATTTGCCTCTCGCTTACTCCTATGCTTAGCTAGCAGTTTTCGTCGTACTGAGTACTAGGCTTTAAAGCCTAGTACTCAGTTCAGCTAAGAGTTTTACTAGTCGAAAAATATTAATCTTTTAGTGAGACCGAAGTTTTCGGAGTTCATCCGCAATGCATGTAGCATGGTCTTACTCTCAACAAACAAATCAACTGGCGCCAATTTTAAAATATTACAATACGTTGAGCCGACCTGGGTCGCAAGCTCTCAATTCGCTGTTGGAATGGCGATATGTATTGCAGCAGCTCCTACAGGCATTGGCCATTGGTTTTTCTGGTTTTCCTTCCATTTATAAATTG